ATGTGGATAGCTATGGTGTAGGGATCTCCAGCCAGCTGAGGACTTGAGCATGTTGAGGAGACTGTAAAGGGACAGGAAGGGTGAGACAATGTCATGCCATGCATGAGGAGGAGCTGAGACTGGTCTTCACCTTGAAGTTTCATCCTGCTAATGCTGAAATGCTGCAGAAACACTGAGCAGCTCAGTGTGACAGTTCTCTAATTTCAACGTTTTAGAGCTACGAATATACTGAATTTGTGGGCTTGAACCAATCATAATGCCAGGTTATGGACTGGACTTAGCTGAGTCTGGACTCGGCTACCTTTTCCAAGTGCTGTTTAGCTGGGAAGCATTCAGAGACTTGTAGTAAGCACTTTGCATGTCTGTGAACAACTGTGTGCAGTCTGGGGAAAATGAGACATCTGTGTGCAGCTGGGGAGGCTCAATGCATGCTCGTACCTGTGTTCATCTGTGCCAATGGCCCACCTCGCTCATCTGCTTAAGCTCCTGGGGAGCCAGCCTCCTGTTTGGGCATGGCCATGGAGCAGGGCCTGCACGGTGTTCCAAGCATCTTTAACCTACCTGTTCAGGGGTGCCAGGCCATGCTGCTGACAGGCTCATGGACAGCAAGTCACTGGCCCAGTTTGCTGGAGACCAGTGTACCTCTGTTGGGTGTCGTCAGAAGGAGTTCTGTTGCAGTGGAAGTCTTCACAGCTCTGTTTGCTGTGTTCATTGGCTACAGACAGGGCATCTGCTCTGGCTTTGTGGTTTTCCCCCACCAAGCATACCCCTCAGCCTGGATCATCTTTTAAAATGGGAAGGGAGGCACGATGAACAAAATGGGGTTGGTGAGGCTCCTGGGAAGATGGCAGTACTTCAAGGCAGCAGCTGTCCTGGAGTCTCCATGTCCCGAATTCTTGGTTTTTACAACAGCAAACCCTGTCTCTGCCCAGCCACAGGAATTTCCACTCTGAGTCACACTGGCTCTTTCCCTCCAGCTATTGCTCTTGCATAACACAGCTGGGCATGGTGTCTGCTCATCTAGGCTCTCATGGAGAAAATGTGACCATTAACTAACCAGTGAAGCCATTTGAACCATTTCACCCTCTGGCATAAGTGCAAGCTAAGCATTTCATTAAGGAAACCCCAGTGATCTACTCTAAAAGGGACATGGATGCCCCTGCCTTTCCCAGGGAAACTGTGCTCAGAGGAGAGGCCAAGGGTAGCTGATAATGTGTAGGCTGGGATGGAGGTCAGTGAGGCAGAGGGAAGACTGCCCTGCCTTGTGGCAGGAGAATGGTCTCTGGACATTCCCAGCCCACACAAAGATGGTCTTTAGAGTTCCTGAAATGCAGAGCCAGTACATTTCCTGTGAGGTGGGGGTTGTGCTGCTCTGAGAGGTGGGGGAAGGGATCTCCCTGCCTGAAGGTATTGTTTCAAGGTGTAGGGAAGCGTTAAGAGGAGCAGAGTTCACATAAAAGTTTCAAGCCCCTAGATGTATCTTGATGCCTAGGCAGACTCCTGGTGGGAGATGGTTTCTCAAATGGCAGAACCTTTACACTAGGTGTGATGGAGACCTTGCAGCCCTTCCTGAGAATTTCTGTTCCTCGGGAGTGGTGGGCACTGTGCACTTTCACTGGAAGCACTGAAGTTCCAGCAGGAACTGTGCTGTCTCGTGTGCTTGCTCAGACTGAGGTGTCCCTTCCACAAAAGGGCTGTGACACACTGAAAGCCACCCCAGCTGAGGGGCTGCACTACAGTCATGTATAAACCCAGGACAGCCATGCATTTTGGGCTGGTTTTGCTGGGAAAAAAGGTTACTTTCAGGGTGTTTTGCCTGATGAACTCAATCCATTCAGGGGAAGCTGGGCCATCTTCTGCTCATTGCCCTTTAGGAGTGAGGAAAGCCCATTTGATTTCCCAGCATGTTGAAGGGTCACAGTGGGAATCACCTTCACTTTGTCTTGTTCAGGAGTTCAAGGAGGGTCGCCGGGCCAGTCACACAGCCCCACAGGTGCTCTTCAGCCACAGGGAGCCACCCTTGGAGCTGAAAGACACGGACGCAGCTGTTGGAGATAATATTGGCTACATCACTTTTGGTAAGCAGGCAGCTCTGAGGCTTGGGGATGCTTGGGGAGGAGAAAGGTTCTTGTTGTTGCATGAAAAATGGGAAGGAGTTCACCTTGCCCTGAAGTGGGCAGTTCAGGGCTGCAAGGACTCTGGGGTTGCATTCTGTCTCGTGTGCCCCCTTTGGAGTGTCCCTTTTCTGTATCAGGTCACCTCAGCTCTACTGTGGGCAAGAAGATGAGGAAGTGGACAGCGAGTTGTTTAGTGTCCACCTACAAAATAAGTTCAGTATTTGGAAGCAAAGGGAAGAGTGGCTTTGCTGTGATATTTTGGAAACTGGAGGTTTCTTGTGAGAGTTTTCATGCAGCTGTACTTGTAGGTAGTCCAGCTGCAGGGAGCTGTGCAGTGCTTGATCAGCAGAGGCAGTCAGAGGGCAGCAGCAGAGCAGTGCATTCTGCTTCCCTAGCTCTGCCTCTTTGCTCTGGGCCAAACACTGATGAGCCACTTTCACCTGACAGAGGTGCTGGCCGGCAGAGCCGTAACTTCCTCCTGGGTAGCAGTGTCAAGAAGTCTAAACCCTGCCCTGTTGAAAGGGATAGGTCTCTTCAAGGTGTTTGGGTGTGTTGTTAGGGTGTCTCAGGCCAGCATTCCTGTAGTTTGGAGCTCAGAGATGGAGCACAGACACTGCAAGGAAAGCTGAAGATAGCATTGCCCTCCTCCTGTACTGGAAATGGTGCCTTGAGGTCTGGGAAGCTGTCCGCTATGGAAAGAAGAGGTCCAGGATGGCACATACTTTTGTTCTTGTTGAGACTAAATTTCCCAGTTATCTGATCTCAATCATCACCCAGACAAAATGTTCTTTCAGCCCTTGGATCTGGGACACCTAACAGAGCACCAGCTTATGGAAAGAGCAAGCTACCTGCTTGTATCCAAGTCTACCTATGTTACAGGGCTGGCAAGCTGCCAGGCAAAGATCCAGAACCAATTTCAAGACCCCAGGGCAGACTGGATCTTGAAATTGGTTGAGCAGCCTGGGCGCTCTGGTCTGCCTCCCAGCTTGCTCCTCCAATTGCATCTCCCAAGCACTGATACAGTAACAGTGTGGTTTCCTACAGTGCCATTGTTTCTGGACACCTGGCCTTGCCTGCATCCTGCAGAGTGCACAGCCTACTGTGGGAAATGTGGAAAAGTGCTCTTAAACCTTGTATTTAAAATCACAAGTGCTGCTTAATCTTGGTACGTGTCAAGAGTAAAAGGCTCTTTATAGAGAGCAAGCCAGGGATTCAATGCAGCACACCCTGAAGCCTCCAGCATCAATCCTGAAGGCCTCGTGCAGCCTCAGGAAGTACTAATGGTCTGTGTTGGCCTCTTCTTTCAGTGCTGTTCCCCCGTCACACCAATGCTGCAGCCAGAGACAACACCATAAACCTGATCCACACATTCCGGGACTACCTGCACTATCACATCAAGTGCTCGAAGGTATGAGGGCTGGGACACATAGGGTGGCTTCAGCCCATCTAACCTGGGTGCTGAAGGGGAGAAGCAGGGGACAGGGGTGCCCCTTGAGAACTCATTAGGGTCTGCCACTGCCCTCTGCAGTCATGCAGGGGTGGCAAGTGATGCATCGTTGCCTTCTCCCTGCTCTTGGACACAAGACTGTTTTCTTTCCATTCTAGCAGTGAAATAGGATTTTTCCCTTTTGGATCTGGTTTGTTTCCTTTCTGAGAACAGAAATGAGGGTAATTGTTCAGAGTCACCTGGCTCTGATGTGTCCTGAAATCTGAGCTATGAAGAAAGGCTCCTGACACGTCCCCATTTTGTCCCAATGAAACACAGGCCTATATTCACACGCGTATGAGGGCAAAAACGTCAGATTTCCTCAAGGTGCTCAACCGTGCCCGTCCAGACGCAGAGAAGAAAGAAATGAAAACAATCACGTGAGTAGCAAAGCAGGGCATGGCTCTCTGGGCTTCTCTGCCAGCCACGAGCTCAGTCTTGCTCAGTTTGGCATTCTGCAGCCCAGGGCAGGCTGGGGTGCCATGGGGGGTGACCCACAGCTTACTGCCTCACACGTCCCGTGAAGAGCTGGGTCTGAGGCAAAAACCTGTGCTGGCAGGTCCTTCACAAAAGATTCATACGTGGCCCTGCAAACCCTGGTGTCTCTATTTCCCCCCACCAAGCCTTTGGTGGCATTTTTGGGGCTTTTTCCCTGTTACATTAGACCTGCTTTGTCCATCTCTGGGGGCAACTCCAACTTGCAGGAGAAGAGCCAGGTCCTTCCTTGGGGTTTGTGGGCACTGGACCAGGTCCTGCTGCCCAGTGTGCCTGCAGCTCCTCAGTCACTGGCTGCCCTTGGCCAACTGATGGCTGGGGCTAGGCCACCATGCTGGTTGGCTCCCTCTTGTGAACAAGCAGTGAAGTGGATGGAGGAGAGCAGTTGTGTGAACATGTTTCACTCAGGTCCCTTACCTTCTGCTTATTTAAGAGCCCCTTGGTGTCCTTTTTTCTCTGTCCTGTCACGTCCCCTTTGCATGCTGCTTTGGGGCAGGAGGGCTGTCCCCTCTGCAAAAGTTAGCCCCTTCCCACAGCCCTGTGACTTGGTTCTGCAGGCACAGAGCCTGTGAGCTCCAGCCCAGCAGTGCCTGCCTGGCTTCGAGAGCTCTGCTACGCATGCCCCACCACAAGCCCCACATGTGCTGACCCCTCTCCATCCTTTCAGGGGGAAGACGTTCACAACCCGTTAACAGCGAGTCACCGAGGCTGTGTGGAGGATGAAGGCTGGGGCACTTGCTACCCGATAATCGTAGCTTTTAATGTTGCACCTCTGTGGGCTCATAAGGAATTCAAGCAATCGGGGTCTGTTTGTACGACAGTTGGGGGAGTAATCTGCAGAAACGAGCTGTGCTTGCGAGGACTCGATCGTTCCAAGAAACAAAACTTTAATTCCAGTTTGATTGACTTCATTTCTTTTCTTTTTTAATTTTTTTTTTCTTTTCAAGCTGTTTCGCTTTGCAATATGTTACCGGAAATAAGTTGCAGTATTTCTTATGAGAATAATGCAATATTAACTTGTTTTCTTCTGAGTATTTGAGTTCAAAACTCCTGTATCTGAAGAAATACTGTTGGGGTTCATTAATAAAGAAGATCTTTCTATCTTAAAGGGCTGTGAGGCTTTGGCTTGTCAATGCACGTGACCTTGCCCTTGAAGGGGTGTTTAGTCACAGCCCCAAGGGCGATAATTCCTGTATTGTGGAACATATGCCTTCTGGTGAGCTTTGGGGTGCAGTACCCAGATCTGGGAATAGCCTGTTCTGTTAAGGAGCTCCTAGACTGTACAGAGCAGGATTCTCCTACCTTCAGCTAGCAACCTGTACCCTTCCCTCCTATCCTGAGCCCCTGATTCCCCCTAGCAGGGAGAGCTAGGGTGGGAGTCTCTGCCACTGATCCTCAGGCCATGGTTGGATGCCAGGGAGATCCCTGAGGAGGGAGCATAGCTCCCCAGATCCTCTTCCCCCCCCCAACAAGCAGAGTAGCTGGCATCCAGTTAAGTGAAATAATTTATATAATTAAAGACATCTTCATACAAAACCCCTGACTTGGCCCCTAGATGGTGAGGGCAAAGCAGGGCAGGCTGGAAAAATTACAAAGCACGCACTGGAGAAGGGTGGTGAAACCATGTCCCTCGTCCCTCTGTACAGGAGGCGCAGGGCAGCGCCGGGACGCCATCCCTTGACACAGTTCTAGCGATCGGGCCGCTGGACGCAGAACACTTTGGCTTGGTGGTCGCCAGAGGTGGTCACCACAATGGAGGCATCCCTGCAGGGAGACGGGGCTCAGAGGTGGGGCTGGGGGCTTCCAGCATCGCTGACCATCACCCCCAGCCCAGCTCTGAAGTACTGCACTCCCCCTTCAGAGCCTCAAGCCTCAGCAGGGACCTTGGTTTGTGCCCAGCCTTGGGACCAGACCACAAGGGCACTCAAAGCTTGTGCTTTGAGCTCCTAGGCTGGAGGCCCCTGCTATCGCTGCTCCCTCCACCCAGCACGGAAGGGGCCAAGGAGTTGCCTGCTCACTTGTTGACGGCGAAGTCGAGGATTTCAGCAGAGTGCCCTCGGTACTCGCTGATCATCTTCCCTGAGCGGGCGTCCCAGAGCCGCACAGCCCCGTCCAGGCTGCAGGTGTACACCACGGCCGAGCTCTCCTCCCACAGCAGCTGCACGATCCCTGACTGCGGCAGGGGGAGACCACAGTGGGGACCTCTTAGCTCCCCCCCTGTACCCCCACCCCCTCATGGTGTCTGCCATCCCCCCAGGAGAGCCAGACACCAGGGCCAAGCACGTCCGCGTTGCAGAGACTGCGGCTGCCCTTTGGGGAATCCCAAGGCTAAGGGAGAAGTACAAATTGGGAACTGGCCCTTGGGCTTCAAGGGAGATCTCCAAAAGGCCCAGAGCCCACCTCCCAGGCCTGGGCGGGGCAGGGGGGAGGGCAGTACCTCGTGTTGGCACTTATGCCTCAGGCTCTGTGTGGAGAGGTCGTAAATAGCCAGTGTGCCGTCAAGATAGCCCACAGCAGCCAGTGGCATCCTACAGACGGGAATAGGCATTACATGGCACATGGGGCAGCAGGGATGGAAACACATAAAGACTGCAGGTAAAAGGCAAACCCTATGCTGAAGGCTACAACATATTGAGAGGATGAGGGAGAACCAGATGGCTGGAGCCATCAAACACCCCACTTGGGAAACCCAACAGTACAGCAAGTCAGCAATCAGCCCATGGTTTGTGAAGATGACCATGTCCTGGCAGGAAAACAGCTGTCTGGAGAGTATCCCAGCCAAGCAGTGGTCAATCAGGCTAGCCCAGAATCCCCACACTTGCAGGGAGGACTGAGCAGCTGGTGACCCTTGGCCTCATACCAAAGGGATCTGGCATCTCTACACCAACTGGGGAGGACAGAGGCCAGAGAAATGCAGCAGATTGAGTGCAAAGGATGCAAATGAATCTGTAGACAAGCCCTATAAGATGTAGCACTGAAGAGGGGCTGTCCCAACACTCACACATTACAGAAGCCCAGCGACTCCACTGAGTTGGACTCTGCCTCCTCACCCTCGCTGATGGGTGCCTTGGGGGTCACGCTCTCCATCTTGAACACGCACACCACCTGGGTAGAGGGAAGGAAGAAGACCCAGATGCACAAAAGTCCCGTTCGCACTCGATACCGAGTGTGCGCCCTCATTAGCAGAAGGCGCGGCCCCAAATCCTCAACTCCTGGGAGCAAACAAGAGGGAACTTCCTTCCAGGAGCCGGGCGGGACCACCCAGCCCACGCTCCACCCGCAGCGCGAGGGCGCCGCCTGCCGCCGGCCGATGGCCGCACACCGGCCCTGGATTTGAGGGGTCCCCAGCGCTCCTGGCTCTGCCCCCGGCCCAGGACAGGGGACTTGGGGGGTCCCCAGCGCTCCTGGCTCTGCCCCCGGCCCAGGACAGGGGACTTGGGGGGTCCCCAGCGCTCCTGGCTCTGCCCCCGGCCCAGGACAGGGGACTTGGGGGGTCCCCAGCGCTCCTGGCTCTGCCCCCGACCCAGGACAGGGGACTTGGGGGGTCCCCAGCGCTCCTGGCTCTGCTCCCGGCCCAGGACAGGGGACACTTGGGGGGTCCCCAGCGCTCCTGGCTCTGCCCAACCCATACAGACGCACCTTGCCCGTGGCAGAGTTGATCAGCTTGGCGTGGCAGTCCACAGAGCCCGTCATGATCAAACTGCCATCCTGGTTGCTGGCTACACACGTCAAGGGGTCCTGATGGCCATCCTGGCCTGGGGGGTGAGCAGCAGGTATGAGCTTTATGTGCCCGCCCCACAGAGATCCAGTGAGCTTTGAAACACAGCACCCTGCAGCCTCCACCCTGCCTGGCTCTGCCAGCACCCTGGCAAACCACAGCCACCGCTGGGGAGAGAGAAACCCTGTGCCAGGCTCCCTCCTGCCCTCAGAGGATGCCTCCTCTCCACCCAGGCAGAGGTCAGAGCCCACAGCACCAAACAGAAGGTGCTGTTTGCCAGCCAGGGAGTAGCCCAGGTGATAAACCTCTTCCTTCTTCCTTACCTTTCAGGACATGCAGCGACGTTCCCTGCTTTAGATCCCAGATGCGCATGGTCCCGTCCTCATACCCCACCACTGCTCGCTTCCCTGGTGAGACAGAGATAGCAGATAGAGACAGGGACCCCCATCCTCCTGCCTCCCCTTCAGCACAGACTGGGAGAAGCAGGAGGGCAGACGGCCCAGACAGAGCTGGTGACATTCCACACTCCAGAGGCCCCACGCCTCACCATCAGGCAGGATCCTGCCACATGTGGCTGGGCACGCTGGACCCTGAAAGGTCTTGCAGTCCCCACTGGGGATCTTCCACATCCAGGTGTTGCCATCAGCTGTACCAGCCAGAAGTACATGGGCTTGAGGGTGCCACTCCATCCACTGGGCAGAGAGAGAGACCAAAGGCAGCGTCACCAAAGTGCTGCCACCCCACTTGCTGGCTGGGGAGTCCCCACAGCACCACTCACCTCCAAGTCCCCCACCTCAAAGGACCACACTTCCTCCTTGGCATCCACCCGCCACACTTTGATAAGCCCAGACATGTCACCTGTAGCCACGAACACAGAGTCGTGACTGAAGCCAGCACAAGTGACCGAGTCCTTGTGTCCTGTAAACATCAGGGGACAGAGACTGCTCAGCCAAGCTATGGAAGATGGCCAGGAGCACAGCATCAGCTGGAGAAAGGTGTGTGCTGATAGACGCTGCTGAGAGGGGACACAGCTGTTCACTGCACCTCACCTGAGCACTCAAACAGGAGCTCCCCGTCACTCACACGCCACACGAAGGCCTTGTCATCCTCTCCACCTGTCACTGCCAGCGTGTTGGTCTTGGGGTCCAGGCTCACACAGAAGACAGAATCTTGACAAAAGAGCAAAGAGACGCTACATGGCTACGGTGCTAACCCCACCTCACCTCATGTTCCCAGGGGATCCAAACCCCGTGCAGCACTGGGTCTGAACTCTCAACCCAGCCCAGTGGGAAATCAATTCTTCATGTGGGAGAGGAGCAGCACAGGCTTTCTGCTGAGCTCAGGGCCAGCTGCCATGATGGGAGGCCCAAAGGGCTCTTCTGCCAAGGCAGAACCAAGCCCAGGGCAGCTCTGAGTCCTGATGGTTGTCCCAAGAAGGCTGGGAGACAGCAGCCTAGCAAGGCACTCTGCACCCCTGGACTCTGGGGAAAGCCAAGGTGGGACCAGGTGCCGAGGGGGGTCCCAAGTGCATCTGCCCGAGCCCAGCACTCACCCGAGTGGAGCGAGAACGTGACCTCGCTGTCGTCCTGCGCCTCCATGCCGTCCTCCACCCCCTCGTCATCCTCCGAATCCCAAGCCTCGGCATCGGGCTCTTCTGCCGCCTCGTCCTCAAAGTCCACGTCCTCCATCTCCTCGGCCAGGTCATCTGCAGAGGGCGAAGGTCAGGGCGCGGCTCGCGGCCGCCGGGCTCGGCGGGGCAGCGGGGGATGCGCGACGCCGCCGCGGCCACGAGTCCCGGAGCAGGGAAAGCGCGGAGGAACGGGAGGAGGGAGGGAGGAAAAGAGGAACACGGGGGGAGGCCGCGGGCCGGGGGGATGCACCGGCCGGGCCTGACATGGGGTGGGGCCGCAGCGCTCCCGGTGCTCCGGCGGGAGGCCGGAGCCCCCGCAGGCCCTGCCCGGTGCGTGGCGCAGGGCGCCCCGTCTCACCCGGCCCGGGCGGGCCCAGCTCCACCACCTCGATGATCTCCTCGTCGCCGTGCAGGTCCAGCGCTCCCGGGCCATCCCCGGGCTCCATGCCGACCCGCCCCGCCGCCGCCGCCGCCGCCGCCGCTTCCGCCGCGCGCCCCGCCCCGCCCGCCCCAGCCAACCACGGCCCGAGCCCGCGGCCGGCCCCGCCCTGCGCGCCGCACTCTGGGAGATGTAGTTCCGCGCGGCGCCGCCCGCAGACGGCCCCGGAGCGGCGGGACTGCAGCTCCCGGCATGCAGCGGAGCCGCTGGCGCACACCGGCGCCATGGCGGCGGCGCGAGGCGGATTGCGGGGTAACGGCGGGCGGGCGGGCGAGCGGGTGGGCAGGAGCAGGGGGCAACCCCGGGGCGGGGGGACCGGCACCGTTCCGCCGCCTCTCTCACGGCACTGCTCCGCGGCCTTCGGCAGAAGCGCTCCGAGATGCGCCCCCGCCCCGCCCCGCCGAGGAGAGGGCTTAGGGCCACGCCCCGCTGCGCTTGGCCACGCCCCCGTTGTGTTGGTCACGCCCTCGGCTCTGGCCCCGCCCCCGAGCGCCCCCTGGCGGAAGGGCAGCGCCTGTGGCAGGGGAATGGGGCTGGACAGGGAAAAGGGCGGGGATGGAGCCGGGGTAAAGGCAGGGATGGAGCCGGGATAAGGGCAGGGATAGAGCCGGGATAAGGGCAGGGATAGAGCCGGGATAAGGGCAGGGATAGAGCCGGGATAAGGGCAGGGATGGAGCCGGGACAAGGGCAGGGATAGAGCCGGGACAAGGGCAGGGATGGAGCCGGGATAAGGGCAGGGATGGAGCCGGGATAAGAGCAGGGATGGAGCCGGGACAAGGGCAGGGATAGAGCCGGGATAAGGGCAGGGATAGAGCCGGGATAAGGGCAGGGATAGAGCCGGGATAAGGGCAGGGATGGAGCCGGGACAAGGGCAGGGATAGGGCCGGGATAAGGGCAGGGATAGAGCCGGGATAAGGGCAGGGATAGAGCTGGTGGATGGGCAGGTACAAGAGCTTCAGGCAGCCCGGGCTGGGCCCCCCACACTGCCCCATGGCTGCCCCTCCCTAACGCTTCTGTCCCCGCAGGACTGCTGGTGGCAGTAAGAGCGTCAGCGTGTCCTGCCAAGGCCCGGGGGTGGCCGGACGCCCGGGGCACGCGGCTCTTTGGGCAGAGCTGCCCCCGGCCAGCCGGACAACGCGCCAGTCAGGAGCCCGGCAGTGGGGGGCTCCCCGAGGGCGTGGAGTACATCCCCACACGCAAGAAGGGCAAGAACCCCATGAAGCCGGTGGGGGTGGCCTGGTGAGTGGCTCAGCTCAGGTGGGAGAGGGTCGGCATGGGGAGGCTGCTCTGCTCTGTGGGTCCTGGGGTGGAACAGGGGGTCTTGGGGGTCTGTGGTGCTGAACAGGGCACTGTCCATGCAGCCCCAGCGTGGCACAGCACCCTTGTTTCCCCACACACTCTCTCCATCTCCTTAACTGCTGGCTGTCCTGCAGGGCCATTGGATTGCCTTCTGGCATCCTCCTCTTCTTCCTGGCCAAATGGCAAGTGGACAAAAACCGCCTTGAGCAGCTCAGAATCCGCCGAACAATGATGGAAGCCAACCAGGGCGAGTACGAGACAGAGCGGTACAACAGGATGGTCAGGAGGGCATAGCCAAGCTGCCCCCCATGCCCAGGCTGCCACTGCGGCACCTTGGAGGGACTGGCCAAGGTGACACCAGCCCCATGGAATGCATGACAGTGGCATCTGCCCTGCCTGTCCAGACCATGAATGTGGAGCTGAATAGGGACAAATAAAGTGAAACAGCTCAGTGCCACTGTGGTTGCTCCCTCAATGCTCAGCCCCAGGCTCTGCCTGCCTCAGCAGTGGGGGCCCCAGCTGTTCTGCAACTGGGCTTCTGCCCACAATAGCAGGGCAGGGGAGGGAGGCCAGGCTTGGAGCTGTTTGACCTTGGTTTTCCCATCCCAAAGCAGTGTTTGTGCTGCACCAGGCCGCAGCCCCCACTGAGTCTGCCCACGGGTTTTTTGAGGGAGTTGCCACACAAGTAAGACTGGGACTTATCTGGAAAACTGAAGTATTTTATTTAGCAAGTGCAACTTTGCCCACATCCGTGGCTGCAGGGCCTCTGCAATGTGAGCTCTGCCACGGAGGTCCCAGCTGCCCCCTGCCCACCCTGGGCACAGCCACAGCTCGGGGAGGAGGCATGGCCAGAGCCACATTTAAGGCACAGAGTGAATGACACCAACTGTTCTCTGGCAAAAAATCTCAACATGATCCCAGCGGGTGCTGCCAGCTCCCTGTGCCCAGGCAGGGCTGTGACATCCCGCCAACCCAATGCCATTGGCACAGCCTCAGTAAGCGGTGCCAAAGCTGGGCTAAACTGCCTTAACGCTGGCAGCCAGTCCTCCCCACTGCCCTCAGAGGCTTGCTGGGGATGATCAAGGGAAGCCCTTTGCTTAGCAGCCTACAGGTAGGAATGCCAAAGCATTAAGAGTCACAGTAAGCAGACTATCCTGTACAGAGACCAGAGGAGGAGTGAGGGGCAGCTGGAGAGGGACAGGAGGGGGCTAATCCCGGCCCACTAGCTGCAGGATGAAGGTGAAGATGTAGATGATGTCAGTGTAGATGGTGAGGGCACCATAGACGTACTCCTCGGGGCTCAGTGTGTTCTTCCTGTTTCCCAGCACAAGTTGGGTGTCATAGGCAAGGAACTGCGGGGACAGAGAGTGTCAGGCAAGGACCAAGGGGGAATTCCTCCCTGCCCCACACCCTCTGCCCGCTCCAGCCGTCAGCTCACCAGAGTGAATGCGATGGCCCCGATGGCTGCGTACAGCATGTGGAGCCAGGGGACCTGCGCAGGAAGGGAACACGAGCAGGGTGAGCCGGGTGCTGGCAGGCAGCAGGCGAGGCAGGGCAGGTCCTGCCCGCGCCCGGCTCCTGAGGAGCTGCTGCCGATGCTGACGCATCCTCTCCCTGCAGGCACGCTGCCTTCCTTCCACACCCTGCTTCCCAGCAAAGGGACCACCCAAACCCCCCGCCCGCACCAGCCCTGCGAGTAGCCAACCGGGAACACCCACGGCACCCCACGGCTCCTCTCTCCTTCCCACTCACATATTTGAAGGAGAGGACGATGGCAGTGATGATCCCGGTCACCATGAGCACGATGCCCAGCACGCAGAACAGCCCCGGACACGATGTAAAATCAACCTGATGGGGACACACACACATGTGTCACAGGAGAGCCCAGGGTGTCCCCACTGACCAGCTCCCCACATCTGGCCCCAGAAGGGCAGGGCAGGGTGCGTCCCTCTCCTTGCCTTGGTCTGGAAGCAGAAGATGGTCACAACGATGGCCACAATGGCAGTGATGAGCATGGCAATCAGGACAGCTTTCGTCTGGTGCATGCTACAGACAAGGAAAGTCACCTCACACTTCAGTATCCTCCTGCCAGAGGGGTGCTGGAGACCCTCCCCCACAGCCCCAACCCTGGACAGGAGCTCCGTGGTCCCTGAGCCCAAGGGACTGGAGCATCCCCTGGCTCCTGGCAGCCTCTCAGCTGAGCTGGCTGCATAGTGGAGGACAGGAGGGACCCCAGGGCATACCTGGCAATCGTGCCTGTCATCAGCCCCATGGCCAGCGTCTGTGGGAGAGAAGGGTGAGCTCAGTAGGCTGCCCACCTGTCCACAAGTCCTCCTATCCCTCCCAGCACACCCAGGGAGACCTGGGGCGCCATGGGGACACCTCCAGGACCCCTTGCCAGTCCCAGCCCACTCACAAAGATGCTCAGCAGGATAATATTCCAGGGGAAGCGTCTCCTGAGGACGAAACAGGAGAGAGGTAAGCTAGTGACAGCAACCATGTTGTGTCCCCCTGGCCCCCACCCCCCAGGGACAGCCCCAGACAGGAACCTATCTTCATGCTCTGGAGACACCCCCCATACCCACACACCCCACCCTGGGGGCCCTAGGGACTCACCGGGGACCCTGGCAGCAGGCCAGCACCAGGTAAGTCACCAGGAACACAGCACTGCAAGGAGAGACAACAGGTGTGAGCCCCACAACCCCCCACCAGGATCAGCCCCTGGGCCGGGAGGCTGTGGATATGGGGCAGGAGCTGGGGGGGCACGAACCAGCAGAGCCCCTACTCACTAAGAGGCGTAGTAGATGGCAACATTCCTCCGGACAAAGGACTGGACAGGTTGGCTGTGAGAGAGGAGGGACAAGTGTGAGTGAGGGAGAGGAGACAGCAACTGCTGTCCCCTCTGAACACTCCCCGAGGAACTCAAGCTCCTCTCTTTTTCAGGACAAAGCTAAGGAGGAACCCTCTACTCACACAAAGGTGAACACACAGATGATTCCCACCGTCACCAGGAGCTGCAGGGAGATGATGGCATAGACCTGCAAGAGACAGGGGGGTCAGCACTTGGCCCCCCACCCTGACAGGTGCCCCTGGTCCCTTGGGACTCACCTTGCGGATGAAGGCGTGCCGGACTTTCCTATCGTCCCAGTCAACTGATTGGAAGGCAGAGCCATCCCCGAGGCCGTTGTCACCTGTGGGGGACACCCCTCAGCAGCAGGGTCAGCCATGCAGCCCCTCACAGCACCCCGTTTCTAGCACCCTCCCCCAGATATTCCAAGGTGCCCCACTTACCAAACCGCATAGGCATGGTGGGCATGGCCATGCCCGGATGAGGGTACCCCCCTGGTGCTGGATGTGCCCCTGGCTGTGCGTACCCCGCCCCTGCAGGGTACCCCCCGGGCTGTGGGTACCCCCCGGCATAGTGGGGGGGCTGGGGGTACCCCCCGGGGGGCGGGGGGTAGAGGGGGTTCTTGTCATCGTAGAGCGGAGGTGCGCTGGGATGGGACATGCCGGTTCCTGCGTCTGCCACGGGCACCTGCAGGGGACAGAACCCGTGGGGCTGCAGCACTGTCACCCTCCCCGAGCAGGACCTGTTCTCGGTGAGCGGAGCCACAGGCGCAGGGACAGAGGGGATCGTGCAGCCACAAAGCCTCCCCCTCCCACTTTAATAGCGGCTCCTAATTAGTAAGGATAAGTTGGCCCCAATGCCAGCAGGTCAATAATACACAAGGGATGTCCCCACTGTCCCTTGGCTGGGGCCACCCACATTCCTGTGCCCTGAGTCCCCGGCCCCTGCGTCATCGGTCAGCCACGGGCAGGGCACAGCCACGCGCTGACTCAAGCTGCGTCGAGGACGTGACCTTTTCCGAAGGGATCTGACCTCTCCGGTCTTTGAAGCCCACCCTGAGATTGCCAGGGAGGAAGGAG